CGAAGGCTACTTTTGTGTGGCAATGAAACACAGTTTCTGTGAGAAATATGTGGAGAAAACTTCGACATATCCTCCATCCGAGCGGATTGGGGTTTACGAGCTTTTCCATCATTCGAGAAGCTGCGCGGCAAAGTCCTGCTTTGGCATCTCGCTGTGTGTCTTCCAAAGCTTGGCAGCTAGTGTCCTGCAAGGTGCTAGTACAAGAAGAGGCCTGAATTTGCGGTGGAGCGGCTTAGCAATTGCTCGTTGTATTGGGCTTGCCCCTAAGATTTTAGCCAGGCAGAGGGTGCTTTGCAAACCTCGAAAGCCTCACCGTTACAAGCCTCTCCGTCATCCGCAGGTGTCCGCCTTCAGACATGCTGCGATCGTCGGCAGTCAAGCATGTGATCAGGCAGGCACAAGTGGCAGAGCATCCATCTAACATGGCGACATCCTTCTTTCACGTCTCGGGCATCTTGAAAACCTTGAAGATGCGTCCTTCGAAAATCTTCCGAGGCCCACGAGGTCCAAGAAACATGGGGCCTAGGTGCAGTACAGGCAGAGGCCCCAAATTGCCGACGGAGCCGCGCAGCATTCGTTAGCATTCGGCTCCCTAAGGTTCTGGGGCTGCAAGTGCTTCGTAAACCTCCCCATCATCTAAACAGAGGCAGCTGTTTCCTGGCGTGGGCAAACGGATTCCACGAACTTGCTTCCACCGTGTAAGTGGGATTTTGTTCCTCCACAGCCTTCCATCAAAAGCACAAGGGGTCCAACCTGCGGTGTCCACTTGTGCCTTGCGCTTTTCATGCAAAGCCTCGGGCCCACAAGGACTTGGTACTGTACTGGCGCCCAGGAGCCTGAAATAGACGGAAGTCAGGCCAACTTCCTGCGCTGCAACCGGTTCAGCCCTGCCCGCATAGGTGCAAGCCTGGGACGTAGACAGAGCCCTTGAGAGCACGCTTGGTGTGTGCTGAATGCGTTCGGCTCCCTAGAGTATAGGCACAAACGTGTTCAGGAGGTAGGATGGTCCCGGGCAGTTGTCAGCCTTACCCCAAGCCCTAAACCCCCCAAACCCCAAGGTCTCATGCTAAGAACCTGAAAGCCGCATGCCGCGCCTGCCACCGAAGTCCGTCTTGCTCGTGTCTCTCGTGCATCGCTGAGCTGAGACCGCCGGGCTGTACCAGGCCTTTAGGGTTTAGGGTTTAGGGTTCCGGGTTTAGGGTTTGGGGTTTAGGGCCCAAAAATGACCGTGGGCCGGCCCTGTTCATGGCTCCTTTCTGCGCAAGTTCCTCACACTGCTCACGCTGCAAGTGTTTAGGGACGTGCAGTCTGCGCAGAGGAGCGCCGGAGGCGTTGCATTGCGGAGGGCACCGGAGCGTCGAGGACCATCGCAGCAGTCATAGTAGTCATGGCAGAAAGGTTGATGATAGAAACAACAACGCCGGGGCTTCTGAGAAGAGTAGAATCTTGTCCCTTTAGATCGTTTTGATTTTGCTTGTCCTGTTGCGCCGGAGATTCCGATGAGGATGAGAGGGCTTTCCTGCATTCTCCGTGCATCTTTAGCACTTTGGCATGGCGCAGGTTTCTCCGGCTTTCCAGAGCGGAGCCTCGAAAAATCGGGGAAACCTGGTTTAGGGTTTAGGGTCCATTCAAAGTTAACGGTCACGAGGTGTTTGCAGTGCAACCGAACTGACCCTGAACCCAAAACCCAAAACCCAAAAACCCTAAAACCCTAAAACCCCTAAAACCCTAAAACCCCTAAAACCCTAAAACCCTAAAACCCTAAGACCCTCAAACCCTAAAACCCTAAAACCCTCAATGTCTTCCTTCCGCACCGGCAGCTGCCCTCCCAGAGATGCCACGCCCTTCATACCCTTCCTTTCCTAAAAGTCACGAAGTGCTCTCTTGGAGATGGGGTTGCAGTGCCATGTGCTCCAGTGCTGAGACAGAGCCGACAGTTCGTGTGACAAAGGTGCGCTGCGGTTGCACTGAAGAGCGGCCCGAGCTGCCTCGGCATGCTCTTCGCAGCATTCCAACTTTGCGGATTGAAGCCTCCGTGCGGCGGTGTCCAGGTGTGAAGAGGCCAGGCCAAAAGAACGACGCCCCGGCGATAACCTACTTCGCTAGGAACAACTTGAGAGCCTCGTGCTGAGGCACAAGCCCTTGCATGATCTTGTATGTCTTGCCAATGCAGAGCACACGGATGCACCTTGCTAGGCACTCCATCAGCATGGTGGGGTCAGCATGAAAGACGTCATCGGACTTTCGAAGCAAGAAGACTGCCATTGACCTACTCCTTGCACTCTGCCCAACTCCGCCGAAAATCTGCCCATTGAGCCTAGAGCAGAGCAGAGACAAGTCCCCAAAGCTCTCGTTACACACGGTCCAAAGAGCAGGGCACGGTTGAGGTTCCGCAACGCGCTGTTGGCCACAGATTGTCCCATGACGGCTTGCATTAGGCGCGCGTTTCCACTTCGTGCTCTTTGCAACATCCCGGTCTTGTCTCCAGATAAAGGACTCGCGAGTAGTACTATCCTGGAGACGCGGCACAGCCATAGCCAGATCTTCTAGGCTCAGTGCCAGTGCCTTCATCTTAAAGTTGGCGCGCTGACAGGTGTGGCTGTCATCGATCCCTGCACTTTTCCATTGTGCTCGGTCCGTTTATGCTGTGGTCCCTGCGGAAATCTTTTTGCAGTCCAAGACCAAGCTGAAAAGGATTTGGCCATAAGCAAGATGTGCTCCAGCTGATCAGCTGAGCTGGAGAAGATTCGGTCATCAGCTCCCCTCGGCACCCTAACTTCTCCGAGGTCGGTTAGTACGGCTGATGCGCCCTGATCGCCATCCACCCTTGTCGGCCTTCGGCGTGCAGGTTTCCACGCACTCCACTTCCATTGGTCTGCGCCCAGAGCCTTCCAGAATCTCTTGGCCACGGCTGGGCCCAGACTGGCCCGCGAATGTTATCTTCTTTTCTTTGGCTGAAGCTTCCTGGTGATCAGCCAGCCTACTCACTGGACCTTTTGCAGATGCACATGGCTTAGACTAGAAAGTCACAGAGCTCGACAGTTGAATTGAACGAGCAAAAAAGCGTAAAGCGCGTCGACAGGGTTCTTTCCACCCCGTAGCAGCTTAAGGGTTTCTGGGGGCTTTGGGGCTTTGCGGCTTCGGTGCGCTGACGCTTTGGCTTCGGGGTTCAGGGTTTATGCAAGGGCGCAGGGTTCAGGACTTATCTTGTGAACACCCGCAGAGTGAATGTCTGAGTCCAGGATGATGTGCTATGCAGCTTGCCGGCTATGAAAACTTAAAAGGGGCCCCTTTTTTACCTTAAATGCCCTAGCAACGCAAGGGCCCTTACTTCAAAAGCCGTTAAGCGAGGTAAGGGACCATATGGACCATGTAACTACCCTTAGAAGTCGGCTATATGCTAGCTTGCTGGGGCAGCAAGTGCTTCAAAGGGAATTGTGCGGAGACTTTGGCAGGGGTTGGGCTCGCTGGGGTTGTTGCTTGTGATCTCTCGCAATGCTAAAGTATGGAAAGGTAAATGTGCACTTAGGCACTGAAGCTGAAACTACCCCCCCCCCCCCCTCCCCTCCTCTCGGGGATCGAGTCGTGGAAGCTCCAACGGAAACTGAAACTGAAACTGTTCCCCCCCCCTGGGGTAGGGTCTGGAACAATCCGCAAGCTCATTCCTGGATAGAGAGATGAGGAACACGGAAAGCACGACCCGGGGGTCTCTTCTGAGATTGAAAGCCCATGGCGTGCTGTGTCTCTGGGACATCAGCACCGCTGGAAATCTACGCCAGAACGCTGCCCCTCTTGGCCGGTTCGTACTGCTTCAAGTTAAACAAGGCATCCTGTCGTGCAGAAGACAGCTCGATGCGCTTCTCAAGCCGTTGAAACTGTGTTTGGAAACCTTGGTGAAGAGAAGGAGCTAAGATTCCTTGAAACCGCAAGCGGTGGAACGGTTGACTCTGAAAGAGAAACAGGATCATGAATAAAGGTTTGAAAACTTGTGGGTGTTTGGAACATTTTGGAACCCGTTACGTTTTGGGCCCAGCTCAGCTTATGTGAGAGCTTGATGATGGAGGCTGTTATTCGAGTCATGCAAAACACACCGTCGCGACGAGCGACAACAGAGATGGTGCGGTTTTTTTCTCCTGAACACAGTGGCATTTGGAAGGGTTCCTTTGTCCCGTTGTGTCAGTGTCTGTGCTGAAGTTCGCTTCAATCCGCACACTGCCAAAACCATCCTGTGATGCAGGCCGACCTTCCCAGCGCATCTTCCATTTTGCGGGTGAAACACGGCGTCCCAGCGGTGCATCAAACTCACATCAGTGCGGTACAGAGGAGTCTCCTTCCATTGAGGTTTGCAGTTTTTGGCTCTTGCAAAGTTCTGTGTCGCCAAGAGCGACAGAAGTAGTAGCATGCAAACAAAGCAAGATAGTTACACGTAGTGAAGATGTTCTTGTAAACCACTGTTTGGCATCGGTGAATCGCGCGGCAGGATAACCAAGGAAAGCCACGGCAGATGTTGTCCTCCACGTCCTTGTACTTGGAAGTAGGTTCACTTAGCACAATGTCGGCCAGCAGAGCGGAACAGAGTGAAGGTGTACATACGCTTCCTTTGAAGGTCGAGGCAGAGGCTTCTTGGCCTCGTTGACAGGGTATTCGAATGCAGACATGTAGCGAGTAACATGTCGTATATACTTTTGCCACATTGCCACGCTTCCTCGATCGGTTTTATTGCTTGGCAATCTTGCATTGCAAGTTTGCATACGGCTGTCTGGAAAAGTCTAAATGTTGGAACCATGGGCCCTTAGTATGGCCGCTTATCCTTGCTTATTCGTGCATATTGGGGTTGTATGACAAGGGATCCAGGCACAGCAGATGGCGCCAGTAAATCACTCCGAGGTCCTCCGCGGTGTGACTCTCCAGGAGGTCTTGTCCGGATGGGGGGCTCATTTCAGGACGCCGGAACACGGCATGTTGCTTGGTGTTTGTTGACAGCTCTCTTTCTTGTGCACATGCGCTCTAAGTGGCCTAAGCCGCTGGCCACTAGCTGTTCGGTCACTAACTGCTAGGTTCAATGTCAACGCGAAGAACTACCTCTTGAGCAAGGAGACCTCGCGTTTGGATCATTTCCTGAGCCACGATTGGGGCTCAAGCCGCTGGTTGAAACTGGTCGCCTTGCTTGTCATCCATAACTCTGGGCCGGCTTTTTGCGCCTCCTTGGCGACCAGCCTTCTGGTGGGGGTGCTGGTCTCCTGCAAGCTTCTGCCTTACAGCCTTTGGACGGTGCTGATCGGCCACTTCAGCTTCTTTTTTGTCTTCTGCTTCTGGCAGAGGATTCGCGGCCTCTTCTTCCGCCCTCTCATGGTCTTCCTGGACACTCTCTGCATCGCGCAGCACGATGAGAAGTGGCTCGGTTGCGCGACTCCGGCCATGCCGATGGGCCTGTGGAGGGTCAATAACTTGGTATACACCTTGGATCTCTCCTCCCCCGCCCAGTGAGAATTAAGTGAGGTATGCAAAAACAGCACAAGACAATCTTTCCCTTTGGGCTCATTTTCTCGCTCATTTTCTTACTCATTTTCTCGCTCATTTTTGTGCTTCGGATCGTGTTTCTCGTGCTCTCCATCACGGTAAGACTTTGGTATGGTATTGTTAGTTAGACTCCAGTACTTGTCCGGGTTTACTCCAGTACTATTCAATCTATTCAGAACGATACAAGCAGCACAGGACTCACCAGAACAAAAAGCACAATCAGGAGACAAGAAAATCGTTCCATTTGCTTGTGCTGCGGATTGTGCCTGCGGTACTGCAAGAAGGATGCACACAACATATCCCCATGTAATGGCGGAAAGAGTTGTTTGCCCCACGCGTGGCAGATTGACCTGAGGCTGAAGCAGAAGGGCATTCTGGGCCTGGGGGCCTTTCTGGTGAACTCCAAGAAGCTCGTGGTCCTTTGGACGCCCCGGCACCTTGCCGAGGTTCAGCAAGTGTTCGACGGCCTAGCCTTCGGGCAGGGGACTGGCTGGGATCATGGGCTTTTGGTCCGAATTTCTGTCGGGATGCATATGCTTGGGGTTGATGTAAGGTAGGTTTAAGGTGGATGCTAGGTATGTTTGAGCCGGATGTCAGGTCGGTTCAGGGTTGATACGAGGCAGGCTTGGGCTGGACATGGGCATGTTGTGACCTCGTACCCAAATAGACCAAGCGATCACAGGGTAAACGGCACCTCCGATGCAGCCGCAGGAGCTGAGGCTTACAGGCCGCTGCTTCGGGATGGAACATGCCAGTGCCAGTTCTTGTGCCATTCGCCAACTGTGTACACTCCAGGGGCCCTTCACTGCATTTCACTACATTTGCATGCATGTCATGTGCAGACATGAAAGTCTGGCGAGGTATTTCGAACGCTCCTGGGCCATTGTTGAAGAGAATTTGTCACTTTATGGAGGGCGAAAAGACCCTTCTTGACACAATGTCCCACTGTTCAGGTTTGTGGTGCACGTTTGAGATTGCTACCTTCATGAAGGATCCGGACAAGAGAGGGCAAATTCACATCATGCCCCTCAAGATGGGGGCGCTCGTCGTCATGTATGCGGCTTTCTGGCATGTGCTCGGACTCAGCTACGCGATCTTCTACATGACCCGGCAGGTGCTCCACCCACTGCATACGTTTTGTTATTTGTGCATGTCACGCGCAGCTTTCTACAAACCCCCGCAATGGGAGCACGCTTCTGTCTACATGGCTTGTGTAGCTCCTCTGGTAGAGGTCAGTTGCCATTAATGTGCGGATGTTGCGCAACGTCTCCCTGTGCTGTAGCTGCTCCAGCTGCAAGCTGGACACTTCGAAGCCCAGGACCAAAACAAAGCCCCTCCATCCCTTAACCTTAAACTCCCAAGCCCTGGCTTCGAAGTTCCCAAGGCCCAGACAGGCGCGGGAATCACCACAACAATGTACACCAGCGGCCTGATGTTGGCTTTTGCCGGTTTGGTGGTGCCGGTCGTCTTCTACTTCGGCAGCTGGGACCTTCCCGAAAGCAAGGGATTGTGTGGGCCACAACTGTTGGTGTAGTCCGGCATAGCCGTACTTCGCACTCACAGATATTGGTGTGCATACACCTATGCACGCGCATAGCAACCAGTTCTATACACATTTACAGCTATATACATTATGTAGGTACATGTAGGTACAGTTATAATGCTACATAGCATATATATATATATAGATATATAGACGTACATACATACACATGTATGTTTGTGATATAAGCTGCATGCTTGTTCGGTTTCTTTTTTTTCCGAGGCGTCGGCTTTCTGCAGGACTTGGCCGACCTGCCTCAGCGCTTCGAGGAGTTTCGCGTGCAGGAGCGAGAGGCTTGATGTTTGGGGTTTAGGGTTCGATGTTTGGGGTTTAGGGTTTAGGATCAGGGGTTTAGGGTTTAGGGTTTGGGGTTTAGGGTTAGGGGTTTAGGGTTTGGGGTCTAGGGTTTAGGGTTTAGGGTTTGCCCCCCCGGCGACTCAGGTGCCAGAAGTGATCTGAGAATAATACTTCCCCCTAAAATTAACAGCTCCTGAGTAGGATTGTACTAGGGGGTTACTAGAATCCCTAGGAAGGACTGTTAGCATAAGGGGGAACATCCCAACTTTAGCTCTTGTTACTTATAATTTTGAAGCCTAGCAAGGAGCTGAAATCATCGTCTCTGCTCAGGGTTCCAGATCCCTCCAAGGGTGCGGGTGTCGGGTTGTCATAAGGCATGTTGGGCTTTGTTCATGTGGGGCTTGATGGGGTTTCACTGTGGGATCTGCTGGAAATCAGAGGCACTCCATGGTGTGTCTTTGGGGCGAACAGCTCGGAAAGCTGTGGGTATTTATTCTGACTGCTCGCACTCGGCCACGCTGAGGCTACGCAGAACAGGCTGCCTTTTGTGCGGTTGTTGTGTCCGATGGTGAGGGAATAGCTCGTTAAAGTTTGAGACGTTGAGGGGAGGAAATGGTTGCAGTTGCACATACAGCAGTTGCACCGAAGGGCTGGGGGTGTCGTCAGACTCGGCGTTGCAGAGGATGCCAAGTGCTACTGCTGCTCCAATGGCCACAAGCATCCAAAGACTGGCGCTTCCTTGCCCTGCGATCGGCGCTTGGTCTTCAAAACGCTCAGGACCTGGAACTTTGTGGTACTTTACCGTAACTTTAGATCCTTACCCCTTTTTGGGTTTATTGGGTTTCTTAATAAGGCAGCTAAAAGTTCAATTTGCAGCTACCCTCCTGAGTGCAGCCAAGAGGAAGTTCTACCATGCCAGGGATGGTGAGCCCGGAGGCCTGGGCAGGTTTACCCTTAGAGAAGAGGTGTGTTCCCTCGCAGGTCGGGGTAGGGGTAGGGGTTTGGGGTTTAGGGTTAGGATCTAGGGTTTGGGGTTGCTGGGTTGTTACAGGGTCTGCTTAGGAGCCTTGTATGGTAGGTTGCGGGTTGTTCTTTTTCGATGGTTGTACATTTTAACCGGGACCATCTGGTTTGTAGGGTCTTGGCTACAAAAGCCTATACAGAATTCCAAGGGAGCCCAAACAAAAAGGCTGGTTCTGCTTGTTGAAGGCGCGCATCTGCAGGGTTGTTGCAAGCTCCAGCTGCCTCGCTAAACCCTAAAGCCTAAACCCTAAACCCTAAACCCTAAACCCTAAACCCTAAACCCTAAACCCTAAACCCTAAACCCTAAACCCTAAACCCCAAACCCCAAACCCTAAACCCTAAACCCTAACCCCCCAAGTGGGCCTCTGCAGGAGAGGTGGGAGAGGACTACATGGACAGGTTCAACACCGTCGTCAGGGAAGAGCTGGCCCCGGAGCTGCTGTCCACCTTGCAGAGAACCGGGCTCCCCCTGCGATACCTCGACCCTGGCACTTGATTCAGTGGTTCATAATATATTAGGGGCCCGTTTTTGGCCGTCCTAATATGAATCCTAGCAGCGATAGTTTGAAGTTTTGCTGACATTCCCTCCACACTCGCTCCGTGTTTTCACGATGCGCTGGCGGACTACACCGATAAGCCGGGTTGCTGTTCAGGAGCTTAAGCTACCGCAATGCGGAAACTGTATTGCTTGCCATACAATCGTATTCTGGTAACTCCTTAAAAGCAAAGCAGCAAAGCCCTAGCAGCCCCGAACCCCTGACTCGAAGAACTCCCAAAACCCTCAAACCCTCGACTCCTAAACGCTCAGCTTTAATGTAGGTGCAACCCCACTGGTTCTACATTCCTCAATCTAATCGGATCCAGATTAAGAATAGGGAATCAGGGGTTTCTTAGTCAGGCGCTTGCGTGAAGTTGCAAAGCAGGTCTGCGTGCTCACGTCGGCCACCCACCCGTCCCTGTGCTTCTTCATTCCTCGTTGGTGGTCGCAACTCCCCGAGCTGGAAAACGGGGCCGTGCTCACGGTGACCCTGCGGTTCTTTGTGAGCCCCGGCTGTTGTTGAGGTCGTTTCAGAATGTTTCGGAGACAAGCTGTCCAGAAAGGTCCTCAAAGGACTCCCATGCCATAAGGTCCTGAGAATGTCGGTCACAGTAAATCAATCAAGCTGTTGAGGCTTCGGATTCGCTTTCCTGGCACACCCTATCAAGAACGGTTCGTACATAACTCTTACCCGGCACATGAAACCCATCAAAGGATAACATATAAGAAGGACTTAGGGCTGAAAGATGACATGTAGCCTGTACTTCGATGTCCTTGGTTATATGTAGAAGGCGTATGAGGCGAATGATCCGCATTCAGCCGAAGAGCAAAACCCAGGAACTGGGCCTGCTTTGGAACCGCCTGCCTGTTCTCGGCTGGGCTGATGAACAAGATGGGTAAGGTTGCCCTTCGCCTGCGGCGCCATGGGGTGTTCAGATCGCACTGGTGCATGCAGGCGCAGAAGGGAGTGTAGGTGTGACCGGCAAAGTTTCTGTCACTCCGGAGCACTGGGAAGTTAATTTAGCCATAGATATTCTGCTTGCCCATACAAGCAGAACCCCTATTAGAATAGTTAAACGCGCAGGTTTAAGTGCTTCGCAGTCCCTGGAAGTCACACGCACCCCCCCCCCCTTCCCAATGAAGTGTGCCTGTCAGCCTGATGCCACTGCTAGGCCATGCTGCTGCCGCCCCTTGTCCTGGTGACGGGGCTGCTCTGGTTCAGCGTCGTCCTGAGCGTGGTTGCCACGGATCACAGCAGCCTGCTCTGCCTGGCCCCCTTCTCTATTCAGGCTGGGCCTCCTCAAGCGTGTGACCCAAACTGCCTGCGAAAAAGGGTGGAACTTTGGAGGCCCAGGGCCAGGTACAAGTACAGCTATCAGTATCAAAAAAAAGGATACTTGTAACCATAGATACCATACTTATAGCTGTACTGTTAACTAGCTCCACTCAGCTTTAGGCAGCCAGTGTTTCAGGAAGAGTCGGGCTTCAGCTCGCCTCGGAGCTCAATCTCACGGCTGTCCGGCCTTTCTTGCTTCAGAATAACCGATGACAGTTCCCGGCCTGCAGCCCGAAACACAGCGCATTCGGGCCTGTCTTATCGATGCACTCCTCTGCGCCTCAACATAATCCTGGCAAGCATCCTCACAGCCCTACTTTGAACCCGCAAGCCTGCAGCCTACAACCTCTTAATCATGAGAGGGCAAACCCCTCAAACCCCGAAACCCGTGAACCCCGCACAATCCTCTCAGTGTACTTACAATCCACGTATCAGCCTCTTAAGTGCCCTGATATGGTTATGATTGGGGGTAATTATTGGGTTAAGAAGTACCCGGAACCTCCAAGCAGGTGGTTGCCACCGCCGTCCTCCTCGGCGTGGCTCCGAGCCCGCACCGGAGGCTTCCGAGCGAAGGAGGCTGGGAGTGTGGCTGAGGTTCGTTGGAGGCTTCGGCCATTCTATGCATGACTCTTGAAAACAGGGCGTCCTGAGTAGGTTCCTAAGCAACAGCTTGAGTTCAATGCAAAGTAGATGGCTTGCTGGAGCCCCATCAGGAACTCCACCCTCTGTTGATGCGACAGCACAGGGGAGTTTCCAAAAGAAAAAGGGGCTTAGATATGGGCTTCGATATGTACTCCCCAAAAAAAATCGAGGGTTCCTGTTGTACAGACCACGCAAAGACCTGATTCACGAAACCAAGCCACGGCGAGGTGAGAGCCCGAAGGTTCAGCAGCCGGCGGAGGAGAGGTGCGAGGTAGATATCTTCGAAGTCTGAGTCTGCAAAGTAAGGCAGTTTCGTCACAAGATGCCCAGCTCTGCTGGGGGGTCTCCTCGCTTGATGAGGACAAGCTGTTGCTTAGGGTTTAGGGTTTCGGGCTGCGTGGGCCTCCAGCCTGCAATGAAGAGTCCGCAGCTCATGACTTCGGGTACTTTTGAACTTTAGGTCGCCGTCGGTTGTCAATATACACGGCAAATTTTGGGCGAGGCAGCCCAACCATGATTTTGCGACGTGTTCTCCCAGCCTGGACAACCCAGTATGCCGGGAAGTGCTGTCGGACGGAGGGACGTAAGGGCTAGCTGTCTACAGGGCCCTAAACCACCACCGAGCCTATCTAGTTCGGTGTAGTAGAGTATGACGAGATGTATAGCCCCATACAGCTACACCGTTCTATACCGTTCTCTAGTGTCAAGGTACTTCAAACAGGACCTCAAGATGCTCCTGTATCTGTCATGGTTGAAGCCCTTCCGTCGACCCCCGTCACTGCGCATTTTGTTGGGCTCCACTTTAAGGAAGAGCCGTGGTTGGGCGCCGACGATGTACAGTCACCCCCAGTTCGGCGCGCCCTGCGTCAGAGTTTGGGTGCCCTGCCGTGTGCCTTAAGACATCCGCAGAGCCGTGTGCTGATGCCAAGATCAAGGGTAGGTGGTAGGTGGCCCATGACAACGGGTACCTTGGAGGTCTAGGCAGGTAGCATCTGGCAGCATCTGGTTCAGGCAGGCGACGAAGCAGTCGAAAGGGTATATGACGCAAAAACCATTCTGAGAAAGAGTCCTCCCAGTTTCCCATTTGAGCCTGTAGAGCATCGGAGCACTGGGCTTGGAGTGTGGTTGGCACTTGTAGGCGAACCTGGCATGCAAAGACTCGTGAGCTGGAGACTCTAGACTCGCCCGGTGGGCAAAAGGTGTGCTCCCGGCAGGCTCAAGGTTTATACAAAGGCTCGCATCGGCGTGCTAAGGCTTTCACTTTGCTTGCGGCCCGCAACCCTAAACCCTGAAGCCAAACCCCCCCCCCCCCCCGTGGACGCCGCTGCCGCGGTGGCCTCCCCGGCTCGAACTGCCATCTGTCTCATTCTGTCTCCATTGGCAGATCAGAAGAAGCAGATGATCACGGTGTCGCTGGAGAGCATAGGAGGGATCAGCGCCTCATCCACTTCCAAAGCCACCGAACGCTCTCCCGCTCCCTCCAGACCGATGGACCAGCAGGTCCGTTGTGTCCATTCTCCGCTCCATGTTCTCTCCGTACAGGCACGTGGCAGACCCGCCCAGGAAGCCACTGCTGAAGGGTTATGTATCCATACGTTTTTCCCAGAAAAAAAATGCTGCAGCGGTGCTGTGGAAGTACAGGTGGTTGCTCTTCCGCAGATGTCGGCTCAGTTTTCCAAGGCTGCTGCGGGGTGCTTGCAATGTTGGCCCACCCAACATGGAGAGGGCGTGTCGACATGCGGAGCTGGCACTCGAGTTCGCTGTCTCCTGTGGGATGCAAGCGTGATTGGCTGGAGAAGACGATGCAGCCCCCATGGCTTGACTCAGCAGAATAGAGTTTGATGGACTGCTGGGTCTTCATTTCATATGGCAGCGTTCTTGTTAGGATCCCCTTAGTTCATGAAGCTTTGCCAGGAGCATGGCCCTTCCGTCGCTGGCACTTGGGATGGCGGTGTTGACGTACAAGGACGGCTTTGCACCTTGGGTTCGTTGGCTTTTTAGGGTTTTCGAAGTTTTTGGGGAGTGGGGCTTCAGGGATTTGGGGCGCGCAGCGTTGTTTTTGGGGAGGTTGGCAATTTTTGGAGTTTAGGGTTCAGGGCTTGGCTTTAAGGCCGATGGGGCTTGTGACCCATTGGAACCCCGAGGTGGGGATTGGTAAGCCTCACCCTGATCCCCAAAGAATAATACAGGGTTTAGGGTTTAGGGTCTACGGTTTAGGGTTAGGGTTAGACCTTCACACTCCCTATACTATCTTGGTAGCCCAGCGGTACCCTGTTGACCTTTTCTTTGGTTCTAGGTTCCCTTTTAACCATCCCCGAAAGAGTACCCTTATTGGAATGTACCCAGCAAGACAAGTTAGAGTAAACTACACAAAGTTCCAATTCTAATTGAGTTGAAAGTTTAGTTCTAAACCCTAAACCCAAAACCCGAACCCCTAAACCTTAAACCCAAACCCTAAACCCGAACCCCAAGCCCTATGATAGGCCACAACCCTCAGCCCTAATCCTAAACCTTTTGGGCATTTTTGGGCATACGGCGCTGACAAGGGTTTGAATGTTTTGGGCATTTGAAATTGCGGGATCACGGGTAAAACCCTGAACCCCAAACCCCAAACCCCAAACCCTAAACCCCGGACCCTGGAACCCTCAGTGAGAACCCTATGCTTACTCGGATCTCAGGGCAGAAAAATGGTCGGCTCTTGGGGGTGTACATAGGGTTTCGGGTTTCGGGTTTAGGGTTTAGAGTTCAGAGTTTAGGGTTGGGGGTCAGGGTTTAGGAGCCGTAGCTTGTAACCGAATCAGACCCTGATGCCAAAAGCCCTAGACCCTCAGCCCGAACGGCAAATCCTAAAACCAAACCCCCAGCCATAAAACCAGACACTTTCTGTCAGTCCGGACAAGCCGCAATCCCTTGCGCTGCTCGCGTTCTCCAAGCTCAAGAAGGATGGGCGAATAGCGGGGGCACCAAGTCTGGTGGGGGGGGCAAAGGCTTTAAGAATTCAAGGGCCGTGGTGCCTGAGCCCGATACCCTAGAACACGATTAGACCAAGCCCTGCCCCTAAAACCAGAATCCGGAGAACGATGGGGTTTTGGGTTTTGGGTTTAGGGTTTAGGGTTTAGGGTTGGGGGATCTTAGCTGTTCTTTTCCTCCTCAAAGTTTAGTAGGATTTAGCCATCTTCACTTGCTTGAGCTGCAACCCAACCACGAATGCTGGGACTTCACCGTGATATGGCCATTCCAGCTGTTACTGTTACTGCCACTGCCATTGTGTGTGTGTGTGTGTGTGTGCGTGTTGCTTGCCAGAAGAACAACTGACAGCTTCCAAGCTGGCCCAAATATGGAGTCCTCAAGCCAATGTGCTTTGCGAAGTCCCATTCGTAGAGGAAGTCCTTCTGGGAAGTTCATTGTGAACTTCCTGGTCAGTCGCTCATGGCGATGTGCCTTCTCCATGGCGCTACTCAGTGCTTCTGCCTCTCGCTGCTCCTGGCATCTCTGGACTTCCAAAAAGGCACGGGCCTGTGCGAGGCAGTAAGAGTGCTAAAGATATACACCACCAGCAACCCTACCAGCAACTCCACAGGGATACTCGAGGAGATGGAGGATGCCCTGAAAGTGCCGGCACCAGAAGAGGGCGGCAACATCACCGACGTGAGGTTTGAGTTTGAAGGTCAAGGTGGGAAGGCTCCTGGAATTATGACGCTTCCCTGGTTCGCGGACTCTGCCTGGATTGTTGCGCGTCCCGGTGGCGAGATGCAGGAGCAGATGAAGAAGAAAGCCGGGATGGATGCGCTTGCCCAGGTTGAGAAGATTGGCAGTCAGGATGTCCACCATGCAGGCCGTGTAGACATCCTACACATGTGGGCGAAGTTAGTCGAGGGTCATCATGGCTATACGGTAGTACTAAAGCTGCGGGGGAATCCGTGGAGGGAAATGCCTAAGCCACTGCTGATGAAGCTGTTCTGGTGCATCCTCCTCGCTGGCCTGGTCCCTGCTTTCTTTGTTGCGCCTCGGGCCTGATTGGACCCATCCGTCTCGGCTGAGAATCTGGCTGTGATGCTTCGTAACCCCGTTTAGGGTTTAGGGTTTAGGGTTGTAGGGTTTAGGGTTTAGGGTTTGGGGTTTAGGGTTTAGGGTTTAGGGTTTAGGGTTCAGGGTTCAGGGGTTATCCGTGGTGCTGCTTTGTTTCGTGGAGCCCAGGGACTCGGTGCTTGCTTGCTGCCGTGCTTCCTGTGCCGTCAATGCGGCCTCCCTGGCTTGAGAGGCATCTTGACAGTACCTTGGTCATAGTTGGGTAGCATTTTTCATTTTTAAGGGTGCTTAAACCCAATAAGGAATAGCAAATTAAATCCTTAAAGGGTACTTAATGAGAGGCATCTTGACGGTACCTTTGTCAGAGTTGGGTAGCATGCCGCCTTTCTAAGGGTACTTAATGAGAGGCATCTTGACGGTACCTTTGTCAGAGTTGGGTAGCATGTTGCCTTTCTAAGGGTGCTTAAGCCCCGAAAAGGAAGAAGCAAATTAAAATTCTTAATATCATCCCAACATTTTTTAGGGTACTTAAACCCAATAAGGAATGACAAATATAATTCTTAATATTAGCCCAACAATGAACTAGGTACCAGACGGACCTGAGGAGCAAGATCAGAACGTGCCACGCCTGGACAGGTCTTTGCTCATCCGTGCAACGGGCTCAAGATGGCTGCAGGCGACTCTTGTGGTGCTTGCAGCTGCAGTGGTTGCAGCGGCAGCCTACGAAACACTTTGCGGTTCCAGAAGGTATATCTACCACGGGAACCCCTTGGTTTCTGCCGCGATCATTGCCTTTGCCTTCAGCTGGCTGCTTCAAAGCATTGTGGTGATTTGGGGCTGTAAGGCCGCGAAGCGCGTGACGCTGGTGGCGAAACACGTTGCCGACATACCCTGCCCTGTAGACCGTGAGTCTTTGGCAGGCGAGCTCCGTGGTCTAGCTTGTGCTTTCGCCCCGAAGCTTTTGGCGACAGTCCTGTTCAGCGTGGGTTTGCTGTGTGCAGTCCCACCTAGAATGCAGTTCGCGCTTGCTGAATTGTCGCGGCCATCGTACCCGATTTGGAACAGGATCGCGGATGTCGCTCATGAGTGCAGCCTGCCTGTCGTTATGGTTGCATGCGAGTGTGTGCTGACTGTCATGACGTGTCGCTTTATACTTGAAGCGTTCATCGTCGCCCGCACGGCCAAGTCTTTGGTCATAGCTGTCAAGGATGAGCTGAGGAAAGAAACAGCGGACTCAGCAGACCCAGAGCATCTCAGAAAGATTCATGTGGCTTCGGGGCATCTTGCGAACCATGTGCTCTTCGAGCTGGCGAAGATCAGCAAGCCGACTCTTGGGCTGGTGACGCTGAAGATGCTTTGGGCGTGTTCTTCCGTTGTCCCGCTTGTGTTTCTGATGGGCCGGGCAGCTGAACAGTCTGGCAGCGACTGCACCAAGCTTCTCGTTGTAGGCCTCCCGGTCTACATCCTGAGCGACTCGCTTCTGGGACTTGCTTGTCTGTGGCTGCCAGCGAGTGTCTCTGACTCCTGCCGCGATCTGGTGAAAGAGTTGAATAACGTTCGAGTTCGGCCGTTCAAGAAGGGCTGCGAGGCGGGTTGCTTTTTCATGGTATCTCGAATACCATTAGTATTAGTAGTGCATGTACTACTGTAACCATTGTTGTTCTTACAATGATTCGTGTTATTTGCGGGTGTCATCTCTACTCCCCGAGACCAGGCTGAGGTTGAGAGACAGATTCGGCTCACCGAGCTCTTCCTCAAGGAGCAGAACCGCGGCAAAGGGCCAGGCTTCGTCCTCGATGGCTTCGGGACTCTGCTTGACAAGAAGATGATCCTCTCGATGTTCACGAAGTTCCTGGCTCTGTCCTCCATCATGCTGACCATACTCCGCAAGGCTTACGAGGAGCCGAGAAAGATTATGCAGGAGGAGAGTCTCTTGTACGGCCAAGAGGCATGAAGCTGGGTTTAGGGTTGGGTTTAGGGTTTTGGGTTTTGGGTTTAGGGTTTAGGGTTTTGGGTTTAAGGTTTAGGATTTAGGCGCCTTCCTTCGCATGCCGCTTTAGCCCACCCAGGACTACCATGATAGCGATGAAGTAGACCTTGGAAGAGCTCGAACAATCAGCTTTCGTGCGTTGCAGATGAAAAGGACCAGCTGCATTAGTAACATTTAGTAACAGTAGTGATAATGATACTTGTATCAGTATTACTATTCTGCAATATGTTGAATACTATATTCAGCTATAGTCATATACTAGTAATACACCAGCAAGAAGAAATTACATAGCGCAGCTCGTTGCTGGGCCCGGCGCGCGCTTCTGAATGTAAAGATGTAAAGCACTGTTCCCTGTTCAAAGCGTTTGAGGTTCCGAGCACCTTCTTTTGTATGTAGAATGCCAATGATATATTAATAGTAGCAAAAACAGAAAATGTTTATGGAGTAGTCATAGCATCAACAAGAAAACCCCAACTTCTACATCTGAGCCCACAGCCAGGGGACCCCCTTCCAAGTCATTCTGCAAGATTGAGGTCCCCATTACAGGGATCCAAGAAGGAGGACTCATTGCTATTGTTATCTCTCTTCCCTAAACCCCAAACCCTAAACCCTAAACCCTAAACCCTAAACCCTAAACACTAAACCCCAAACCCTAAACCCTCATATGGTCTTTGAGTCGGTTGGCGTGCCTTTTTTGAGTTTGTGCCGACACGCAAGCTTGCTCGAGCCTCACCAAAGATGTGGGGTTCACCAAGACTCTTTATGGTCATTATTGTGGTTGTTATTGCAAACAATTGCGGGATGATTGTTATTACTAGCAGTATTGTTATTGTTACTCCCATTCTTCTTCTTATCATTATTAGGTACCCCTCCCCCCCCAGTCATCTACCTTGTTGGCTTGTTTTGTAGTGTGATCTGCCTGTTTGGGGGGTGTTAAATCTATGAAGTAGCAAATGATCGTACTAGTTTGGTTTGAGCTTCTATCATGAAAAAAAGGCGACTAGTAATATTGACAGTTGTAATAGAAGTGATCACTAAGAAAGCGATCATGTTAGGCATGGCAGAATGGTAATCTACAAATACCAGAAACAATGCAAATCTCACGAATAATCCCAATAACGCAAATGTGCGAATGCTAGCTACACTAATAGCAGGAATAGACGTAATATTACCCATACCTAGAATACAAAGAGCACGCAGAGTACAAAGAAGGTCCAGAAACACAATAGTACGAAACAGCAATACCCTTAATATGATCATAATAATTAGCTCCGATCTTTGGAGATGCTGTCAAGGCCATCGATGTCATTGACGAAGCCGGCTCGAAGGCTCTGAGGCGGGCCCCGATATGGTCATGCTTAACAACATGGAATGGTAGTGGTATAGATATGGCAGCAAGAATAAGGCAATGTACCGTAATAATAGTAGTGGTACAAAGACAATGATAGTAATCGTCATGCATATTCCATGAAGTGGCAGAAGGCCAGGTGCGTCAGCTCTTTCAGGCTGTGGAGGCTGCAGGGTCTCCGGATCCCTTTGCTGATGGTCTGTAGGAATGTTACAAGAATATGTTCATAGTAACCTAATAACTCTATTATGGCAACATGTTAGCAACATAGATATCATGGTTTAGGGATATGTTCTCAATGCTTTTCAGCCCCATGGGTCAAGTTCTGGGATCCCTCCTACTGTAGGAAATTTCCACTCATCAACAATAGTATTGACAACAAGAAGAGTAGCGCCAATCATAGTAACAGCAACTGAAATATAATTAACAGCCATGTTAATAGCGCACATGAAATAGCGGCAACAAGAGCACCTGTTTAAATTGGTGTCTACATTCTTTCTCGGACGCAGTGAGCCTGCTCTATTTTTATGTCCTTGTAGGGATGTGTTTCTGTATTCTTGTTGTTATATTAGAGCCTACACCCCAAGACGCAAGCCATCAGCAATAGTCCATGTGGTTGACGGGTTTAGGGTTTAGGCTTCAGGGTTTAGGGCTGGCCAATGACTTGGAACCACGAGAGCCAACAGCGCGAGCAGCCTCTCCGCCCTCCCCCGCCCCAACACCTTCCCTCAAAGGGGGTCGAGGTTTTAGGGGATCCGGGGGAACCCGCAAGAACTTGAGACTTAAATAGGTCGGGAAAATTTGGAGAGACCCGAGGATCAAAGTTTCTCGGCATGGCTTGGGTTTCGGATTCAGGAGCCTAACTGTCGGAGGGCTGCTTCATGAATGCTTAGCCCTGACATCGTAGTACCGAACGCCAAACCCTAAACCCCTAAACCTTGAAACCCCAAACCCTAAACCTCTAAACCCCAACCCTAAAGCCCGAAAACCCTGAAGCCCCTCAATCCCGAAAACCTAACCCCTAAACTCCAATAACCTCAAACCTTAAAACACCCCAAACCACAAAGCCATAAATCCAAAAAACCAAGCCCTAAACCCGAAACCCCAAACCCCGAACAAGCCCCCCAGACCCTAAACCCTAAGACCTACTCCCCAAACCCTAAGCGCTACACCCTAAACCCCAAACCCTAAACCCCAAACCCCAAACCCTAAACCCTAAACCCTCAACCCTAAACCCCAAACCCTAAACCCTAAACCCTAAACCCTAAACCCTAAACCCTAAACCCTAAACCCTAAACCCCTGGCCAGGCCAGGAAGAGATGGAAGCAGAGCCTGAAAGGGCGGCGGGGCCGCTCTTTCAGACGCCGGCATTACCGGTCGGCGCTTGGGCGGGGTGTTTAGGGTTTAGGGGGTTTAGGGTTTAGGGGGTTTAGGGTTTAGGGTTTAGGGTTTAGGGTTTAGGGTATCCCCTTGTAGAACCCATGAGGCGCTACGAAATGGGAACCCAGTCTTCCCACATCCTGATCCAGAGCTCATCAAGCAGGATCCCAAACCCCCCCCAAGCGCCTATGCATGCTTCACTCCAGCTGCCAGCTCCACACAAGAAGAAGGGACTTGATCAGGGTATCGGTAGATCTCGACTCCGACTGCGGCTCAAGGCCCCTTAGCGTTGTTGGGGACGCTTTGGGCGCGTATATCGGAGGCTCTCCAGAGTTCTTCCACCAGGGATTGTAGAGGGGTCTAGACCGGTCTAGGCAGGTGGAGAGGCGTTGTTCGAAGCGGCCCATGGTCCTTGCTGACACGTGGAGCCTGCTCTCGCGGGCAGCAGAGGCTTAGATTTCCAGGCTGGCGAGTGGGGAGGTAGGTGCTTCGGTACTCGGATATGGGGTTTCCGAAAGAGGAACCCTTTTTGGGGGTCCCTTTTAGGGGTACAACAGGGGTACCCCTTTTTTGGGAAGCTAAAGGCGTTCACGAGGGTTATAGGGTTGGATTACTTACAGTGTTCCCTTATGGTCCCTGTATAAAGATACTCTCATACCCCCCAAAACTCTATTGTAAATATTCAGGCCCCTATATTATAGAGTTTAGGAGGTTTAGGGTTTAGAGGCTCTAGACGATGTAGGCCGCCGGTCTACCTCGATTTTTGGCTCTAGGAATCAAAGATGGAATCAAGAGTGAGGACTACTTGCTTACCCCGATCCCCAGCACATACACTATTTAGACTCTAATGACTCTCGTATGAACCCCAAACCCTAAACCCTAAACCCCGAATAACCACAGTGTCCTCGTAGTCAACACGCTTTTTGGCTGATTGGTCCGGGCATTGATCGCCGCAGCCTGTTGCCAGAAAATGGTGTCGTCTTCTTCTCATCCGAACCCGCGCGCCCTGAACCCCAAACCCTAAACAGCGTCACGTGAACGGCCCACCCCCCTTCTATAACCACTCCTGAAAGAATGATAACGGTTTATCTGAAGTCCCACATGTGTGTGTGTGTGTGTGTGTGTGTGTGTGTGTGTGTGTGTGTGTGTGTGTGTGTGTGTGTGTGTGTGTGTGTGTGTGTGTGTGTGTGTGTGTGTGTGTGTGTGTGTGTGTGTGTGTGTGTGTTGTGTGTGTGTGTGTGTGTGTGTGTGTGTGTGTGTGTGTGTGTGTGTGTGTGTGTGTGTGTGTGTGTGTGTGTGTGTGTGTGTGTGTGTGTGTGTGTGTGCGTGTGTGAGTGTGTGTGTGTGTGTGTGTGTGTGTGTGTGTGTGTGTGTGTG